AACGGAGCACAAAAATTTCCCCTGAAACAACAAATCTCGCTCTTGTCAACAGCTAACCAACCGAATTGGATGTGTTTTCTTTCGTTTCTCTAATGCTTCCAATCTGGTGATATTCGCTTCCAAAACTGCATCTTTCATTTTCATATCGTTCAGTGGATCCAATCGAGGTAGATTTGGATCGAACCTTCGCATAACTTCCTTTAAAAAAATATCACCTCTTATACTTCCGCACTATATTCAACTCCAATCATTAGTTTCATTTTTACTTGATCATCCCTTCTTCTATTAAATTAATAAAAAATTCAAATAATACTCCCAACAGACGACTAAGTGGTACAATACACATTTATCTGACTATGAAAATTATTAATTTAAAAGTGGATTTTTCATGATGACAACTACACTGCGGTATTTATCACATAAGCCTAGTGTCATACTCAAATGAAGATGGACATGCTGAGGTAATGGATGCACCTTGATAGTTCGGCCAATACTTTGCTTTGCGTCACGATTACGTACATCTTGCGGTAACCGGATGCGTACCGCACTTATTTCAGTCACACAATCCAAAGTCATTGGAACTATCTGAAATGCATTTCAGATAAAATAATTCAGAATACACAGTACTCCAGAAATACGAATGCAACGCAGCATAACAANAATGCTCATCACGTCCTAAACATGAGAACGATGCTCCACACAAAACCCATCACAAACGATCGTTAACCGATACGAATTCCTGATATATTCGAAAAAAGTTTGATCATTGAATCCAGCTTACAATCGTACAGTAATACAACAGAACAACCAATGATCGATGAGATTAGCAGTGAACAACAAGTAAAGAATGAATGGAACAAGTTGAACTAAAATGGCGAACCTCAACAACACCTGCGTCATTTGCAGGAGGTGGCTGCAGCTGCGCAACATTACTGATATCACGAGCACTTTCCGTTGAGATCAGCATTGCTACGTCCAGAATGTAATGCAATTGGCCATTTAACGGATTCACCGGATCTGGTTTCTTATGGAAATTCATTATGGCTGCCCACCCGAAATCTTTTGTTGATGCAACAACCTTGAACGATACGTACTTATTGAACACATATTCAATCGAATTTGATGGAACATAAATGAAGATAACCCAATAATTGAAGAAATAATTTCTCACAT